GAAGCCCACGGGGTCAAGCACTGTCTCTCCAGAGTGAGATGGTCTTTCTACACTGGCCTTGGACTTGGTCACTGGCTCTAAATGGTTAATGCTACAGTGAACCTGAAGTCAGTAATTTGGATGGAACAGGGGTAGAAGAATAAAAAAAATAGTATCAGACATGACTTCAGTGAGACTTTTGCAAAGATATCACTTTATTTCATGTAATATGCAAACAGCCTCTGCTTGATTCATCTCTGTTCTTTCATCATACATTTTCCCTTAGTGTTTCCATTTGTCATGCTGGCCTCCCACTCCATTTGGTCCAAATATCCTCTTTGGTTATTTCTGGTTCAGCTGTTTAGAACATGCTGATTTATGGTGCCTTTGCAGCGATATGTGGTAGGGGACTGAGCTGCCAAATGCAATGGGAAACATTTGCAAACAGTAGAATGGTCTTAACTATGGTGCCATCTTTCTGCTGTCTAAAGGTGATATGATGCAGGAAGGAATCTCAGACTAATGAAAAGAAAGAAAAATCCAGACAGGCAGGGTGATTGTTTTGAAGACCTTATGTTGGTTATACAAAAAAATAATACATTCCCAAGTTGATTGTACTTAGCTGGGGAAAAACTAGACCAATTCAGATGACTTGAGGGAACTCTGACAAGCTTTGTGCAAATGGCCTCACTTAAGAGTGAAATCACATGTGAGGTCAGAGGACTTGTTTGCCTGCATGCTCCACATGCCTCATTTTATTGCCTCATTTGTTCTAATAGCTCCTGGGTTCAACCTCATCCTTCCAGCCCTCCCTAATTCCAGAGGTAATATATCTTCCCAAATAGAGTAAATTAATATTAATTTTGTTTTAAGATTTTATTACATTCTTTGACCTGTTTGAAAATGTCACAGATCTAACTTTATAAACTGCCTGATCTGTGATGAGTGTTAAAACACCTGTGCTTTGTGAACCTCCATAGCAGTGGTTATCAACCTTGGCTGCACATTGGATTCACCTGGGAATCTTTTTAAAATCCTGATTTCTGGGCCGCATCCTCCGGAAATGCTGTTTCTTTGTTATGGGGTGGGGCCACAACATTAGTAACAAAGAAACAGAATTTTCAGAGGATGAGGCCCAGAAATCAGGATTTTAAAAAGATTCCCAGGTGATTCTAATGTGCAGCCAAGGTTGAGAACCACTGCTCCATAGGGTACTGTGGACATGTAAATCCTTTCTCCCCGCTTTAAAACAAAGGGTGCAGAGTGTTTTAAGGGTGCTGACGGCACAGGAGTGAGTCAAGGCCTCTCAGGAGGATTGGGGTCCCTACCAAGGCATCACCCCGCTCTCTGAGGCCACAGCAATGAGGAGCTCTGGGAGCTTTCAATTTCTTCCACCCTTCTTGACATTCATCTTATCCTCTAGTTATTTCCGTTTCTTCTCTCCTTCTGCTCCAAATATCGAACTGGTGGGAAGAATTCAGCTCTTGATTGGGGGTGGAGAAAAGGCAGAGATGCATTCTTGTTCCTTCTTTTATTCACCCCAAATCAGGAACGCAAGGAGCCCTTCAGTCCCCTTGCCCAGGGCCCCTGCTTGCAGAGGGTAAAGCTGGTCTACTTGTCAAATCATAAGTATGACAAAGACATTTCAAGTGGGACTCTGTGGCCCTCGGGGTACTGACCATGCCTGGGCCTGAACGTTTGTGTAAGTGACCTTCATAGAACCAGGTATTTCATTTGTTATCATAGAAGGCAGTCATGCTCCTAAACAGGCACATTCCTGCTTCCCTCTCATACAAGCAGGACTTTCCTATTTAAAAGGAGGCTGTATAGCTAGTCTTCTTAATGACCATAATTAAGTCATGGGAATAGAATTTTAATAGAATCTGCTTATAACTTCTGAAATCTGAATTTAGTTCCAAACAATTATATGCTACTCTTATCAGGTTTTTCCATCAGATTCATTTAGCTATTGTGTTTGAGACAAACAGTGCTATGAATTGTGCTGACAATGGAATATGTGAATAAGTAAATAAAACACGTTAATCTCTTATTAAGAAAACAATGATGATGAAATAGTAACAACACAGGCTACAGTGGATATTGCTGATTTAATAATTCCTGTGTGGGGGGAGCTTAGCTTAAGAATGTTTCTGCTTGGAAGAACTTGTTCACATTTTGTTCTTGAAATTTTACCCCTGTTTAAACCCAGCTCAATTGTTACTTTCATAGGAGTGACTGTCTGTTTCTCTTCAAGGAAAGAGTTCTCACGTCACATGTCACACCAGGCTCTACTTTCTAGACATCTGTGTGCGGTTTCACTTTACCTGCTGCCTCATCAACTCCTTAGGGGAGAATCCCTTACATACAACTTCACCTGTTCTGTTGCAACTTAACAATACTCAGTATATTTATTTTTTTAAAAAGAAAGAATGAATGAGGACACTCTATTATTTGCTAGCTGTGTGATCTTAGGCAGCATCTTATAATCTTTGTGCTTGTTTCTTCATATATAAAGTGGTGACAACTGTGATCTTACACATTTAAGATTAAATGAGATCATGTGTGTCAGTAGCCTAAGGCCTGGCACATTGAGTTCTCAATAAATGTCAGCTGTTGATTTTAATGTTAGTAACATGGACTATATTTTTCAGTAGGTTCTTCGAGGTAGGGTGGTTTCTTTGCTGATCAGGGACATAGTGTTAAATGAAGGATGGAGATAATCAACAGCACCTCATAAAAGCAAAGTAACAGCAATAAAGCTAAAGTAATTTCAACTGCTAAAATAATGCTGCAAGTTCTATATTCAGTAATGGGCAGGATTCCAGAAGGGCCCAATGTACTCTCAAATGTACATTTAGCACATAAAAATACAACTCAATGTCATTAAAAATTTAATCAACGAACAAGATAATCATGTCCCTTATCAAGTGCATATATATTATGCTGGTGGTCCTATGATAGCATGCCTTTTATAGGGGTACTTTAGATATTGATAGATGGTCCAGGAAGGCCTTTTAGAGTAGATGGCACTTAAACTGAGACCAAAGGGTAAGAAGGAGATATGGGAACAAAAAGTAGGGAGAAGAGTGTCCCAGGCCGAAGGGACTGCAGGTGCAAAGATTGTGTGGAGTGTTCGACTATATGTAGGGAGTCTGGTGGGATTGGAGCATAGTGAGTGAGGTGGAGGGGTGGGAGGTGGGGGGGGGGGGTAAAGGCAGAGGGGCCAGATCATACAGGGCTTTGAGGCCTGGGGACAGGCCAGTGTATTTTCAGTTCAAATGCAATGGGAAGCCACTGCAGGACTTTAAGGGGGCAGTGACATGATGCAATGCTCAGATTTCATCACCTTCTACTAGGCTGTGCATGCACCGCCAGCTCTTGCAGCATTTGTCTTGTAGGAGGGAGGCTCTTCACTGCACTCTTTCAGGGGCCTCTGAGCTGCAGGTGTGCTGTGAGGGAAGACCAGAGCATAGAGCATAGAGGTGGCAGCAGCCCTTGAATCCCCTCTGTCACCCTGCGGTCACACTGCTGGGTCTGCACCACATCTCCCAGTTACCTGGTGCTGGAGAGTCTGCTAGTTTTCCACTTGATTTTAAAAATAAGTAAATATTGCACAGCCAGTCCACAGATATGGTGAAAATACAAAGCAAATGACAGAGTTAGGAACCTGCAGCTCTAGGCAATGGCTGCAGCTATGAGAGAGGTTTTCAGGGCCCAGCCCGAACCAGGAGGACTGTTTGCTATATATACATGTGGTTTGGGAGGGACAGAAGGCCAGCCCCGAGGGAAATTTTGGAAGCTGACAATGGGAAGGATTTTCAGTCTTAGGCAAAGAAACAGGTCAAACACCTGCACTCCCAGCCCAATTTTGAAAGACTATAATTCTAACCTGGCAAACATTAAAGAAAGCAAGTAAGTGTGTTCACGTCATTTCAACATTCCTTTTCAAACACGTGGACTTAAGGCAGCTATGTTTGAAATCCATTCAGTTTGTATTTTTGCCAAGAGTTTTGTGGGTATAAAGTTTAAAAATAGCTGTGTATACATAGGATATCTATGGGGAAATGTGGATAAATTCTAGGTTGGAAAAAGGTTTTGTGACCAAGTGCCCTAATGTTTAGCTCTAGATGTTTGTAAAGAAAATAAAACACAAATGGTTCAGGTAAATACGGACTTACCCAGCAAGGGCCTGGAGGTTTCTTCCCTCCACACAACTTCTCCCTCTCACCCAGGAAGTTGGAATGGAATAATTGTGCCGCAGGCAAGTACATCCCTCCCGCACTCACTTATTTAAATCTTATCTATCAAGGTACTGCTTTGGACTAAGGACTAGTTTATAATCTGCCTGGATAGATAAGCCTTGTCCCTAAACAACTCCAAGACAAAGTAGCCTGTGATCTGTCCTGAGTCAGGGACAACCTAGTGCTCGCACACTGCAGTGCGGGAAGGGTAGCCAGGCAGGCCTCCTGAGGGAGGCGGTGCTGCACAGGGCTTCGGTGGACAGTAGGGTTTTGATGGGCGGAGAGTTGGAGAAATACCTGAGCTTTGGCACATGGGTGGGAAGGTAGGTATGTTTAGTGGAGAATTAAGAGGCTGCTTGGCTGGAGTGTAGGCTAGTAAGTGAATGTGAATGATGAGAGAGAATACACCATTAAAGAACTGAGAAGCCCAGAGGAGAAGGAACTGGTCCTTTCTCGTGTGTGTTGGTAGGTTGTTGTGGGTCATGATTTGGGGGCACAGGGAAGCCAGACCTGTACAGTGTGGGGTACGTAGCAGGTGGCTGAAAATTCAGGTCTGGCCTGCAGGAAGGAGAGAAAGGAAGGCCAGCACATACCCATTTGAAAGCTCCAATGTTTACCAAATCTGATAGCAAAGGCTGGGATGGACCCAGAACAAAATGTGATCGGGCAGAGTTCCCGGGGACGGTCACATGTGGTTGGGTCACAATCTCGAGCCTGCTGCCAGGTGTCCGGGAGCGCCCACCTCCACAGGTGCTGCCAGTTCACTGCGCCCGGCAAGGACAGAGCTGGCGGGGAGCACTCCCAGGGAGCCCAGGCCAGAGCTGGGGGCTCTGACACTGACCGGAGGAGCACAGGGGTCACTCCGGGGCTGCAGAGCCAGCTCAGGCGACGAACACAGGCCCAGACTGCCACTGAGCTTATGGCCCAGAGAATTCAGAGCCCTGGGCTTGGGGTGAGTTACTTGTACTGGGCATAGGAGGCTCATTTTGCGGAAGTGGAACATAATTCTTAGAGTGGAAATAGGACGAGGAGTCTCCCTGCTGCACAAATCAGTGTCTTCTGTTGTGCCAGGTGCATTTTCAGTTGTCAGACCATTTCCAAGGGCAGAGGACTTGGCAGTAAATCCATGCTACTCACTAGCCTCTTCTTGTTTCTTACCTCACTAGAGTCAGACACAGCTCATGTGATAGGAGGAAGCCTGAAGGGATAATGAACAGTCTGGCCCTGGTTGAATAGGTGACAAGACCAGCTTCTAAGAGTAGTGCAAACCAAGGTTTAGGGGGCATTGAGAACTTGAAACAGGCTTGGACAGGAGAAGCCTTTAAGAGTGGATGAAAATTGCCCAAATAGCCGTGGATTGGTGGAGTGAATGGGAGTGACTCAGCACAGGATGCCTAACAGCTATGGGTGGAAATTGGGCTACTGCAACAGAGGGCTCGGTGCCTGGGGAGGAGGCATCAGAAGGCCAGAGGGAAAGAGGTGCAGAGGCTACAGAGGCAGCTGGTGAAATGGCCAGCTGGTGCTCCAGGTGGGGCAGGCAGATCTAGAAGCCAGAGGAGACGGTGTGGGGAGCAGGGGGACAGGGGGATGACGGAGAGAGGTGGAGGGATTGGTGGGGAGGGAGGGTGGTTAGGGAAGGGCAGCTCAGAGTTAGAGAGCTAGGAGGAGCAGCACTGGGTGGTAACAAGCACTCAGGTCTGGCTTTGCCGGCGGTGGCTTGAAATGGAGGAAAGAAAATATCCAGGGAGGTTGAGGGTGTGATGTTGGAAAGATGATTCCCTCTTGGGTGAAGTTCTGTCCAGACAGACGGTTGAGAGGTGGTGGTAGAATAGCTAGCTGTCAAGAGCATGATGAAGCCAAACCTGTCTGCCACCCACACAGGGAGTCTGTAAAGGGGACGAGAGCCTGCTGGGCAGAGCATGTGCCGTCCCACAGCCCGAGGGAAGAAAAAACATCAACCTTTATTAAATACCTGCCATGTTGTAGGCAGTATAGGAACTTTTGCACAAGTTATATCATTTAATTTTTGTAATGACCCTTGAATGTTGTCCATATTTTACACATGATAAAACAGAGGCTCACTGGGAGGGGTGGGGCGGGGTGGAGGGGATCAATGGGGGAAACAGGGGGACACCTGTAAAGATTTAACAATAAAGATTTTTTTTTAAACACACCAAAAGACAGAGGCTCTGAGAAGTGAAATAACTTACCCCAGGTTCATAGTGAGTGGAGTCAGAATTGGAAGCCAGATCTATTTGAAGCCAAAATTTGAGATTCCATGTAAGTGTAGCAGAGGTTAAGCCCAGCAGATCCACCAGGAGGGTTATACAATCTACAGGTAAGTGGGAAACAGCAATGATGATTATATGAGGGTAGTTCCACGAGGGAGGGATTGTCTCTCCCATTCCATGCTAGGTTCTCAGCACCTAGCCCACTGCCTCACACATAGTGGGACTCAATATGCTTGTTGAATGAATGATAAGCAAACATACTCAGGGCAATGAAGAAAGTGGTGCAGGGACCCAGATTCCTAAAAAGTTTCAAGAATGTCAGTGAGAGGCGGAAGGAGGGGATCTGGAAGAGCTTCGGAGTCCTGAAGCCTCTTACCTGGGGAGGTTAGGGACCTGGAGTTGACATCCAAGCAGGGAGTGGATGCGGATGCAGACGGAGCGCCATCCATGTGGACTCTCCGGAGGAGCCTCTCGTTTCCCAGGAGGATGTCAGTCTTACCGCCTGTTTCCCACTTGCCAGACTGTTCAGAGTTGGCCTCAAGAGATCAGAGTTAGCCAGCCCCCAGGCTTCTGACGAGGGTGAAATTTCCCTCTACCGACGGTGCTGCCGGAGATGTCCAGGGAGGCTCGTCCACAGTGCACGGCTGTGTCCCCTCCTCCAGGTCTTTTAAATTCATCCTCCAATCTAGAAAGCTACCAACTTGGACTATATTAAGAGAAAATCCTTTGGGAAAATCCCCTCCTCAGAAAGTGATTTTAGAACCCTGCGCTGAGAAAAACTTGGTTTCCACTGAGAAAGGGCATTGAGGCAACTTCAATCACAATGAAGTAAGGTGCCGCTAGATTCTCCAATCACAAATGAAAACGACTGAGCTACTCGTGTTTCCCTTTTTGCTTTGGCTTCTAGGAAATTCATCCACAGCAGTTACATTTTTCTTTACAGTTGGCTTATTTATGAACATTTTTCTTAGCTCTGATTTTCTATTTCTATCGTCTTATGTCATTGCAGTATCAGTTGCCTCAATGCCTTGTAGAAACAGCTTGATGCAGAATAGTGAACCGAAGTGCCTCCCCCCTGTTCATCCAGGTGGAGTCTTCAATGAAAGGGAGGGCAGCTGCTGACACTCCTGGGCATGGTGGCCACCAGGTGGCACCAAAGCTTTCCCACGGCCATCTTCAGCGAGGCGATTTGGCCTGAAAGTGTTTCTACTCTGTTTCTTGAGCTGCCACATGCATTCCGAGTGGCTCCTGACCAAAATGCACTGGGGACTGAGCAGAGCTGACCTAAGTCTAGCTGGCTTCGTTCAGGCGTTCAGCTTATAAGATCAATGTTTCAAATGGGGCAGGGCGACTCCCAACCAGATCAGGCCCGTGGGGGCTATGCCACTTCTCGGAAGCAGCTGTGTTTCTACACCATTTGAGGCAACTGGAAGTGGGACCTCATCACAAACGGAGAGCTTAGGGAGGGTGCCATAGGGGAAGGGGAGGGGAAGGGGCCTTTTCAGCTTCACCAAATGTTCTGGTGACTTCTGTTTGAAATGAATATCTTATTCGTAATAGTGGCCACATAACTGGACGATAGTTAGCACCCTTTTAAAATAGGAATGCTAAAAAGACCCAGCTGTGCTGACACTACCATCCATTTCTGCCTCTGTTATTCACCCTGATAAATTATGTCATTTAAAATCATTTGTATTTAGGCCTCTGTGCCCAAGAGGAGATAAAAGCCTTCAGTAGAAGTTGGAAGGATATAATTATATGAAAATCTTTAAACTCTGGTTCTTGACCCCTCATGAATTGATTTGTTATTATTGTGACAAAAGGTGTTTCCTTTGAGAATCCATGTTTACTCCTGTTGATTTCTCTTGTTATTTTCTCAAGCCTCTGCAGTACCTCATCAATTGTATTTCCAGAGGATTAAAGAGCAGTGGAACCCTACTAGTCAGAAGGAGGCATTTGTGTCCAAATCAGGCACAGGGAGCAATGTGGCCTTGGGCAGAGAGATGGAAGGTGACTCTTCAGCTATTCCCGCTGCTCTCCTGAAGTTCAGTCCTGGGATCACTGGCCAGAACTGGTCATTGACGCTGCTCTGTTAGGGAGGGGAAACTCTCCAGTTAATTTGCCTTTAAAAGTCTCTTCCAGGAATTCCGAGTCTACTCAGGCACCTGGTACCTGATGGATTGGAGAATTCGTTCATCTACAGAAAGCCCGGGAGGGAGATAAGAAGATACCTACATTTCTTACGATTTCCTTGGAGCCGAAGACATCAGCTATGAACTCGAATGTCTTCCTGCTGAAGGTGAACATTTGTTCTCACCTGGAATGCACTGGATAGTCCAATAGACTCCCATGTGACTGTTCCTCTGCTGTTGGGTCCCTCAGCTCAAGAAGCATCCAGCACTACAGTCCATTTAGTATAGCCACACGTCAACCCTCCCACCATCACAAAAGTCTCTTTGGTGGCTCCCCACCCACCTGCATGGTGACCCAAGTGGAGTGACCCAAGATGAGTGCTGTAGGGCTCAACAGGCCAGTCAGGGACTGCCCTGAGAGATGTTTGATCTTTAATGCAGGTACTAGGTGTTTAGGGTAGGCCACAGTGGGACCGTGAGCAGTAATTTTGGGGAGTCGTATTAGGAAAAGAGGCAAATAAGGATGGGCTGTAAACCAGACAAGGGCACTTACTAACACTGCCCTCCGGGGAAAGCTGGGGAAAGTGCAAGGCCAACAAGAAGAAACTGGGTCCCATTAAATAACCAAAAAATTAGGAATCAGATCTAGATTTCCTATATTACAGAACTTAATTCAGAAGAGATATAATTTATGAGACAACCTCAATGTTATTAAATTGAACAAATTTATTGAGCACCTACAATATGCCAGCATCTATCACAACAATAATAATCCAAGAGTCGGATCCACCAGTGGGTGTCAGGAACTCCCCCCCCCCCCCCCCGGGGGGGGGGGGGGGGGGAAGGTTAGTGTATGACCAGAAATGGAAGCGAGGGCTCTGCCAGTAGAGTCTCTGTGTCTCCTTCTCCACACAGTGACTGCCATTTCTGACCATAGCTCTGGAGGGGAGCGGGAGGGCGGCCTGAATGTGGTCTGTGGTGGGCTTCCCTTTCCTTCTCTCTGTTATGGGGGCACCTTGCATGTTCTGCTCTTGAACGGTGCTGCTCACATCCCTTGGGGTCAGCTGGTTGAATGGACTGTGCTGAGGGTGGGTCACTGAAGAAGGGTGGGTCCAGAGAGCATCAGAGTTGGGCTCTCAGGCAATTTTAGGGATGCATGCAAATACACTAAACTAAGGGTGCCAATTAAGGATGAAGACAGGAGGAGACAGCACTTGGCAGTTGGCCTCATTGATTTTTGCTACTCCTGAGCTGGCCACTGTTCCTTGTAGGCTGAGTTTCTCCTCCTCCCTAAGGCTAGCCTGTCGCTCTTCATCATCAGCTACTGATTGTGAGTCACATTCCTCGGCAGGAGTCATCTCTGCAGAAAAAGCCCCTCACTACTCTGTACCCCGTGGTCCTGCAGCCATCCGCATCACCGGAGGAGCCCGCTTTCTTGGCCTCATGCACCACAGCAGCAGGAGACTGCAGACCTAGATTCTTGCTGTTGACTGTGGCTGGGGTCTTAAATCAACCTCAGTCTAGCACAAGGATTGGCAAACTATAACTCTTGAGCCAAATATGACCCTCCACCTGTTCTTGGAAATAAAGTTTTATTGGAACTCAGTCACGCCCACTCATTGACATATTGTCCATGGCTGCTTTCATGCTATACTGGCAGAGTTGAGCAGTTATAATAGAGAGCATTTGGCTAGCAAAGCTCGCTGTATTTATTATCTAGCCCTTTCCAGAAAAACTTTGCTCACTCCTGGTCTAGAATTATGAGACCATATTTTTATTTACTTAAGCTGGAGCAGAATGTTGTATATCGGAGTCCTGGGATATCCAGGATGTTTGGGGGAAGATCTAAGGCTTTCATTGACAGGGATGGCAAGCATTGAGGCTTCAGTGCAAGTCTGATGACTGGCCACAGCTGCCTGAAGGCTGTGTGGAGAAGGATCCCAAGACTGTGTCTGGAGGGGGTGGGCGCTTCCAGAGAGGTGAAAATGGGCTGTGCTAATGTAGGCAAGGAGCACCAGACTGAGAAATAAACAAGGAAAATACATGCTCTTCTTCCCCAAAGGTAAATGGCAACCAGCGACAGCTCGGCATTGCCCCACGCCTGCACTTGGCATTGCTGAGGCTGGAACAATGTGCCCTTATTGGAGTGGGAGAGAGGTGAGATTTTAATACCATTCACATGGTGACAGAAGCAGACAACAGTCCGGAAGGGCCACGGTCAGGGGAAAGCTCCAGCTTCAATTAAGGCGCCTGGCACTCTGGCAAGGCCAGCACTCCAACTGTGTTTGTTCAGGGGGCACTGCGTGGAAAGCTTCCTAGTGTGCAACCCAAATGATGGTTAAAATGTTAAAGATGAAAAGACAAGGTGACAATGCATATTTGCTAGAGAAAGTGGTATACAATATGGGTCCTGCCATTTATATAGGTATATACATAGACAGCCCTTAGACTGCAGGTTTTAAAACTGAAAAACCCTAAGACTGCCTACCCAGTCAACATCCTATTATTCTGTAATTCCAATGAACGATTCATCCTCAGTGGTCCAAATAAATCCAGGTGCGGGAGTGGCCTTCTGTGGCCCTCACTTGCTACAGTGAATGTGCTAGTATTGTCGAAAGGTGAATACAAATCTAGATTTTGGAACTGAAATCAGATTTTAAATGCACCAAGAGTCTGCTACTCATGCTAAATCCTTATAAAGCTTATTAGCCATTTTAGTGTAAATCCAGATTTTTGGACGTTGCAAGACATTTAAGTGTGGTATGACTGTAGCCTGATTGATGTTTACAGCTGTCTTATCAAGCTGACTTTTTCATTCTAAGCACTACTTGGAAATTATTAGGGTCACTGCTCCCTGGTAACATAAATCTATCTGGGAAATCCAGGGTTGTACATTGTTATTGTGCACTAATTTCTCACACAAGTCACTCAGTATCTTTCCTACAGTGAACATTTTGGCTTTAATTGTTCTTTCTTCACAGCATGAAAAATGGCCAAATCAGCTCTGGCTGACTAGGTTTTTTTTTCACTTCAAGTAATTGTATGAAGCATTTAAAGTGTGTAAATGCACTAAACCATATCTCAAATGGAACTGAGTAATTCAAAAAATATATTTTATGACTTAAGTTATTGGCATAAAAATGCCAGTATTTTTCCACCTAGTCCCTAGAGTGGGTGGCATGGCGAACGGGGGGCTGGGATAGATAACTAGGTTCCAGACAGACCTGGGGAAGCTGAGCTTGTGTGAATGAAAACAACAGCATAGAGGGTGCTCAGATATAGAATTCCTCTGTGTCACTGTCCCCGGGCCCAGCCAGGGCTGGGGATGGTGTGATGTGTCTGCCAGTCTGCTCGGTGTTGGGAGCATCGCCAGGGAGCTTGGAGGATGACCCTGTGAGGGTGGCGGCACCAGAAGCTGGGGGAGCAGCAACCGCCGTTGCCAAGGAACTGGAAGGCCCTTCAGCCCAGGAGGTCTCCGTGGTCACCCCACTCCCAGTGGGTAGTGGTCCTTCTCGGGAACCTCTGTGCTTGGAGCAGTGGCTGCCACAGCGTTCGGAGGGGAGGGGTGTTTCCAAGGTGCTAAAGAATCTACTGGGTGCAGAATACGCAGAGACCACAGACAGGTCCGAGGAGGACAGCCGCAGGCCCGTGTCCACATCTGTCTCCTGGGACCCCTCTAAGTCATCAATGGAGAGGAGGTGGCCGTGTCTCCACTCCGATGCCCGGTGCCCTGGGGCACCTGTGTTTGAAAAACACTGTGGTACAGCCAAGGAGGCTGGGTCGGGGTCTTCTGTGGGCAAACAAAACAAGGACTTGCTTCTCTGGAAAGACCAGGGAAGGCTGGGAGTGCTGCTGGCTCCTGTGGCAAATTCCTGCTGGTGTCCAGCTAGCAGGATCGTCTGGCTGGGCCCCAGGCGTGGACTGTCCAGTAGGGGTTGCTGTCCGCTGCCAGGAGGACGGCTCGGTGTGGTGCAGCTCGGGGAAGGCCTGGAGTGAGGTTTCTTCTCCGAGGAGTGGTGAGCTCTGTTGGGTTTAGGAAACTTCTTGTGCACCCTTTGCGCCTGTAGGGGGAAGAGGGCATATCCTACTAGTCACCTGGGAAGGGGATTTATTGTTAAATACATCCTGAAACACACTTTCTCATAATTGGAAACTTCTAGCAACATCGTAGCAACCAATTTCATTCTCCAAACTCTAAAGCAAAGACTGAGGTAGCAGGGCTTGGGGTGGTAGCAATCAGGACCTAGGAGGAGACACAGCCCCTGTCACGATAGTGGATAATACTTCAAGTCCACATGCAAGGGGCTCAACAGATTAGCCACACAATGAGGGCCTGGCTGAGAGGAGGTAAGAATTACCATTAAATGCACAACGGATGCCTCAAGGTTCCTCCCCTCTGACCACAGCATTGCTTGGGAGTGTTACTGCCGAGAGGATGGAAGCGTTCCGGATGGGATAAGCACATAGCCCTGAGTGGTTTGGCTCAGGATGGGATCAGCACAGACAATCTCAGAGCAGATGGACATGGGATTTGACTCCAGTACCTGGGTGATCACAGGACACACCCTAGGGCTGGCCATGTCAGGGTGGTACTAGTAAACCTTCAGTGAGTAAGGGGCTATCAGGCCATTAGCATTTATTTACCTGCTATTAGGAATCTCTTACTGTATATTTTGCCATTTAGAGATGGCACAGGAAAGGGAGCTGTGACTACTGACTAATCCCTTGGATGCCCCATAGGGTGTAGACAAGCAGTTGCACCCTTCATGCCTCACCCCTGTCCTCTTATTCTTCCACCCTCCCTGCAGCTCAGCAGGAAAACGTTTCTGTTGCACAAATCTGGGACCTCCATTCCACCTGGCTCTGCTTCTCTCAGATTCTTCCTCTGGTCTGGCTCAAAGCCCAAGCCTACAGGGCAACCTTACAATGCAAAGTTTCAATTTAATAGCAGATTTAGGGATAGTGGGTCTTGTTCTATTTAGTATAGGATCTGATTTATGAATCCCTGATATAAGAAAAGGGTTCTGACTGCAGCTAACTAAAAGGGATATTTCCTGGCACCCAGCAGGCTAACATACCAGCCCTTCACTAGACACCAAACACCCTCCCTCCCTGTTCAGCAGGAACCTGGTTTTCCCACAGCCACTTGGGAAATTTCGTTCAGTGTAATAAACTTCTGATGAAAAGGGGCCACAAACTAAACCTGACAAGCTCAGGGCAGGCCTGTGTGGCAGCCTTACAAACTCAGAGACCTAAAATAACCACAAAGGATAGTCTGAAATTAAACCTTTTTTAAAAAAAACTAAAGGCAGTTTATGGTGGATAGTCATGTTCTAGGTCAATCTTTACCTTAACTGAACCTATTGTCTTTTTGCATCTACAATAACATCTCTTTGGAATGTCAAAGTAATTTCCCTTTTTCCAGACTCCTCGAAGCACAGGCACCGCTCTGCGGAGACTACAAATCCCCTCATTGTTATTGAATCAATTGTTGACTGTTAACTATCCTGTACCTACTTAAGTAACAGGAGTGTGTGTCTATCATTTTACTTTTAATCCAATCCCAGAGGTTTCCCCACTTTGCTTTCTCCTGCCTCCCTAATCTATCACCAATGGATTTCATTGAGAGGAAGAGAGAGGGAGGGATAAATAGAACATCAATGTTGAGACAGAATCATTGGTTGGCTGCTTCCTGCACGCCCTCCACTGGAGGTTAACCTACTTACATCTCCTCCTTGAATTGTAATTTTGTACAAGGTGCTTAAAAACTGCCATTCTCCGAAGCATTATCTCAATCTGTTGAGGTTCGGCTTCCTGGCATTTGTTGACAGTTTGGCTAAAATAAACGCACAAAAATTCTTCCCAGGTTTGAATGTTTCTTACGTTATTACTTGGTGTAGTTGGCAGGATTCCAAAGAAGCTCACCCAAGACCATTCTGCAGACCCAGACCTGGTGCTTGTATCCAGAAAAGGCCCGTTGAGCCCCGCCGGCTCCCAGGTGCATTGGGTGAACTTGGGTGAGTTGTCTCTTGGATCCAGGACCTTCCCTTGCTTTTTTGGTAGAGGGTCTGACTTTATTTGAGCTGCTCTTAGAAATTCCTAGAGGTGGCACTAAAGGATAGGAGTTGAAACCTGTGGCAGGTTTTGATTGGGCTTTTCAATTAGAATTGCTTTCTGAGAGTCTGAGCAAAAACCCTTCGCTGTATAAATGAGAGCTGAACGAGTTCAGCTCTGAAGATAAAGGGGCACATCCTCCCTCCAGCCCAAATCTCAGGTGTTCTTAGGTTACTAAGAACCTTTGTGGAGGTGTCAGAGGTCATTCCTCAGGACATGCAGGAGCCCCACAGGGAATTTCCAACTCAACTGTAATTAAACTAACAGGCTCATCCAGGGAGCGCCCATAAGGCTTGGTTTGACAACGCCCGCCCGCCGGTGCCCTTCCCATTGTTT